AGAATCAATCTTATCATGCTTATTAAAATGCTGATCTATAATTTATCTATGTATGGCCTTGCCATTTTAATTGATGATTTTCCCCCTTTAGTATTATCTGAAGAAAAACTAAAGTATTTCAAATTTGCACAAACAAAGGTATAAATAAAAATATCATTATTCTAATAATCTTAGCTCCCATACATCTTCCCCCTAGCATACAACTTTTATTTATTCCTGTTGGGAAAGACACAGAATAGCTGTATGGACCTCAATATCATGCTCTAAAGGGGATGAAGTTATAAGAATGATTGAAAGGGTAAAAGATTAAATTCTTTGATTCATTATCCTCTTTTGTGAGTAGGATGTGTTTCCAGAAATCTAAAAATTATGTTGTGAGAACCTAATAAAAAATCCAGCTGATTTTAGCTGCCATTTTTTAAAGCACTACAAATAAAGCTTTTGTTTTAGAATATTAGCTTTATTGTGACATTTTGTTACATTCATCCCTTTTCTAAATAAACCACGATCAGAATTAGCTATATATTTAAAAAAGTATGTTTATTAAATTTATTGGGGTGACACTGGTTCTTAAGATCATATAAGTTTCAAGTATTCATTTCTGTGATACATGATCTATATATAGCATTGTGTGCCCACCACCCAAAGTCAAATAATCTTCCATCACCATATATTTGGCCCCTTTATCCTTTACTGCCTCCCCACCCCCTTCTCTCTGGTAACTACCATACTGTTATCTATGAAATACTCTTCAAATCTCCTTTAGTACAGTTATCACAGAAAGTCAATTAATAAAAATTCAAATAAGGGTAGCAATTTGGATTAGAGAAGAGCTGAAATAGTAAAATGGGATGAGCATAGAGTCTTGCACGCTTTGTTGTTTTTTTAAATATATCTATATTTAATATATTTTATTGATTTTTTACAGAGAGGAAGGGAGAGAGATATAGAGTGTTAGAAACATCGATGAGAGAGAAACATCAATCAGCTAGCTGCCTCCTGCACACCCCCTACTGGGGATGTACCCACAACCAAGGTACATGCCCTTGGCGGGAATCAAACCTGGGACCCTCCAGTTCGCAGGCCGACGCTCTATCCACCAAGCCAAACCAGCTAGGGCGAGTCTTGCACACTTTGAACTCTAGAAGTCATCTATGTCAACAGGGTCTTCTTTCATTAAAGTTGCAGCCCACATTTGCATATAGCTTTGCACTTTCCAGTTACCAGAAGAGGAAACTGTACTCTAGAAAGCGGTAACTAGTCTAGAATTTCACAGTGAGGTGGCAGCGTCCCTAGGGATTTCTCTATCAGCTCTCTTTTGCTAATCCTTCTTATCTTAATGGTTGAATGCATCTGAATTTCCAGGTTCTTTGGCAAGCTTTGTCCATCTGTGTCATTGCTTAAATATTGGTGACTATTCTCCCATCTTCCAAGCTCCCTTTTCAAACTCTTACTTCTTCAGCTTCATATATAACTGTACAAGGTTTCATTTCTTTACTAAGTCTTTTATTCCATAACTAGAGGCCAGGTGCACAAAATTCGTGCACAGGGTGGGAGGGGCAGAGGAGTCCCTTGGCCCGGCCTGTGCGAAGGTCCCCTCAGCCCAGCCTGCATCCTCTCCGATCTGGGACTTTGAATGATTAAAAAAAAAGGATTAATTCTCAATACAAATGTTTAAGAGCACAGGGAAGTCCATAATTTATTTTATTTTAAAAAGATACCCTCTATAATGTTGTTAAAATAATATGACTTTTAGCCATGACTGAATGGAGGGAAGGAGCTTAAGTTATGTAGAACATTCATTTATGTGAAACAGTGGCAGTATCAGATAATAAGCTTTCTGGTGTTTACGTAGAATTTAAGTTTTAGTCAATGTACTGGCCAACTGCCAGGTGCTCAAGGAGTTCTTCAACTGAAACAGAGTCTGCATGTAAACCTTTCAGTGTTCTTGGAATACGGCCTGTTTCTCAAGGTTATCCAGGGGAAAGTTAAGTTCTTTCCAAAAGCCCTTCCCTCATTACTCTGACCTTATCAAGGTTACTTTTTACCTCTCTTTGGTGGTCGGACATGATATGTTAAGTCATTAATGACCAGCTTAAAGTCATCAAGGAGAAGGAGGTCTATCCCTGTTGAGGCAGCAACTCGAACACCATCTGTGAAAAAAGTTTAATGTGAAAATGTAAACTTGTCATATGTCCATAATTACTTAAGAATGGTCATGAAAAAGTAATCCTCAAAATAGATTTTAAGAATGATGTCTCTCTTAATTTCAGTTAACTTTTTGCCTCATCCCTAAGTCTATGCTAAACAAAGCTTATACTATTATCTGAGACTTTTTGTTTTCATGGCCTCAAGCCTGTGAAGATTTAACAACATATTTTTCTGGGAAAATTTTATGAGAGTGAAATAATTATATAGATCTATAGGTGTCAGTTGGAAATCTAGGGTCACTGGGAGAGCTGCACGGCCGTCTTATATTTGTCTATGATGGAAGGTGGGTGAGTAAAAAAACAACATTTCCCATTCTGTGGTACTTTTCAGTGTGGTCACTGATTAGATGCCAGTAATTCGTTGGGGATGAATGCTAGGGCTAGCCAAATACACCAAGCTGGTCTACTAGTTATACTACCACATGAATTGAGTATTAAGTATATCTAAAATATTTATAGCATAGAAATGTGGCAAATTGTTAATAACTGGTGAATTCAAGTGAAGGCTAAGTGGGCACTTATTGTACTAATGTGTATTTAAAATGTTTTAAAGTAAAAATTAGGAAAATATGTAAAGCACTTAAAAAAAATAAGTAAAATGGGTGTCATGTCAAATGGGAATTTTTGGTGCCTTATTTTATATTCTTTTCAAGTATACATGTTTTTATTTTGGTAAGTCTTTATGTGAAAGACATAAGAAAATCTAAAAAGAAGTCCTAATATTTCATATCTTCAGAGATGAGGACTCAACCACTGGAAAAATTTATTCTATGCCTAAGGCAATGATGAAAAGTCTTAATAATACACAGTGCCCACAGCATTATATGTGAGGTGCTTTTGAATGAGACTTCCTGTGTATATATATTTGTTAAAACTGAATAGTTATATTCTGAGAACCACTTTCTCTCCTGCTGACATTTGCTAAGAAAAGAAAGTTAAGAGTAAGAGATTCTTTTGTAGAAACCTGTGTGTGTGTGTTTTTTGGTGGGTTGGGGGGATGGATGGGTGGGAATTAATAACGAAGGTGACTGTACCTGGTGAGTAGATTGCAACTCGGTCAATTCCCCGATCCTCTTCTTGTAGTTGTCGTAAAAACACACCAACAGAGTCTGAGATAGGTTTGAGTGTGAATTGGCAGCGTTCACGCCGGGATGGTAGCCTCACAGATATCACAGGCAACCCATTTTGATACACCACTGTCACATCTGAATGAAAAAGACCCCCAATCATATGAAAGTTAGATTCATTATGTTACAGCTATATTCTTACCATTCTTGTATGGGATCTGTTATTATCAGTGTGGTTTAAAACCTTTTCAAAGGTTTAAGAATATGTCCTTTAGCTTTAGTTGACAGTTATTCTGGGAATTAGAATCACACAACTCACTTTTCAGAAAAATAGAAACATTCGAAGAATTATCTTCTAAGTGGATCACGGAAAAGCTTTCTCAGGAATTTGAGGTAAAGTTCTTGGTATTGCTGAAGAACTTTACCTGGTTCCGTTTATTAAGATTTTATGAAGTAGTCAGAGATTGCTAGCTGACTCCATAACCTGTAGGAGGTGGCTCTTGGGAGCCAGAGCTTTCAAGAAGCCCTGGGGAATTAATAATATTTTAAAGCACACCAATAAGGGAGATTCTTGCTCAAGGATACAACCCATATTTATAGTACAATATTATATCCAAGGTACTTGATAAGTAATAATTCTCTTACACAACATGGACATATTATGAAATAATAAAAAACAGGTTCTTTTATATTCTCCTGAACATCTTCCTGAGGTTAGTGAGAAGCCAAAGATGAACTATTTGGCATTTTCTAACAAAAAGTTAATAAAGAAGATATTATTATAAGCTTTACAACTGGAAGGATTTTCTACATTAGTATTGCACAGAATTCCTTATTTCCTTATCTTTTTCCTCACTACTCTTGATTTGCAGAGCCTGTCATTAAAACAAATGTCAAAATAACTCAAAGTAATTTTCAAATGAATTTTTAAAAATAAATTAATTTTGAACCAGTGTATATATGCAACAAAGTATTTAAAGATAAGTTAGCACCAAGGAAGGAAAACAGGTTTCAGAGTCAAATCTGGGCTGGAATTCTGGCTGTTAACTTTGGACATATTATATAACTTCTTTGAGCCTCACTTTTTCATATATAAACTGGGTTTAATCCCTAACTGATAGAGTTGTTATAAGGAATCCTATGTAATAAAAGGCTAATATGCAAATCGACTGAACGGTGGAACGACCAGTCACTATGATGCACACTGACCACCAGGGGGCAGACACTCAATGCAGGAGCTGTCCCCTGGTGGTCAGTGCGCTCCCACAGGGGGAGCGCTGCTCAGTCAGAAGCTGGGCTCAGGGCTGGTGAGCGCAGAGGCAGTGGCGGGAGTCTCTCCTGCCTCTGTGGCACCGCTAAGGATGTCCGACTGATGGCTTAGGCCCGTGGGGAGCGGGTCTAAGCCATCAGTTGGACATCCCCCGAGGGCTCCTGGACTGAGAGTGGGTGCAGGCTGGGCTGAGGGGACCACCCCATCCCCACCCCCTGAGTGCACAAATTATGTGCACCGGGCCTCTAGTAAATAAAATAAACCAATTAAAACACTTAGCACACTGATTGATACATAGTGATATCATTGTCTCGTTTGCTTTTTTTTTAAGAATCAAAAGGTACATTTTATAATGTTTCTAAGGATTCATATCCCTTGAAATTGATGAGTTGAGAGGAAATGTATGTAGATTAAAGTTCTGGAGATCCCAAATGCATCAAAGTTTCCATAGTCATTTACACCTTATTTTCTTACCTATCTAGTAATTTATAAGGTCTACAACGTATACAAAAGCCCCATTCTAAATTCTTTCAGGACTTAAATTTTAAAGCAACCTTTATTAAGGCATCCTATCTAATAAAAGAGAAACATGGTAATTGGCGTAAGACCGCTACCCTTCCCATTGGCTAATCAGGGCGATATGCAAATTAACTGCCAGCCAAGATGGCAGCCGGGAGCCAGGCAGCTTGAAACTAACATGAGGCTTGCTTGCTTCAGTGACAGAGGAAACCAACGGTCCTCGCCTGCCTTGCAGGCCTCT